CCATGGTTATTGATTAATAATATAATCAACTGTCTTCTAAACATTCTCTAGAAGGTGAAACCCATGTTAATATGGGGAAAACATGCAAAACTCCACACAGACAGTAATCCGAGCTTAGGCTTGAACCCAGGAGCAGTGATGCAGCAATGCTACCAATGTGACATCACGCCGTCCTTTCTTTCTTTCTTTCTTTCTTTCTTTTTTTCAGTGATACTGGTGATTCTTCCAGGGTCAGTTCCCGGGATAGCATCCGGATCCACCACAGCCATGCCCAAGTGGTTACAGAAGATGAGTGAATGATAAATAAACAAACAACCAAACCAATAAATACATACTTTAATTTTCACTGTATTATTATAGAGTGTCACAGTACACAATATACTGTGTTTAAATAATATTCTGAAATATTCATCCATAACACTGACTTTCTTGAATTGCCAGGTGCGGTAAATGTTTCCCAATATTATTTACAATATTTATGAGGTTGGGTATTGATTCAGGTTTGGTAGTACATATTTTGTAGTATACATTTCATTTCTCCTCTCTATTCTTGTGAGGAGAAAGGCAATTTTGAAGAGGTTAAAACAATGCTAACATCTTTATCTGCATAGATGGAGCTGCCCTCATCTACCCACTCAATGAATTCTAAAAGCTGGCTTCATCTCAGTCAAATCAAAAACCAAGGCCATACATTCATTCGCCAGTACTGCAGTGCCCACACAAAAGCCTAATCTATCTTTCCGCAGATCTTCTATCGAGTTCGCTGCTTTTTCGGGGAAATTAATTACTTGAAGCACAAAAGTATGCCTGTGGTCCCTGTGGGATTGTTAAGCAGGCCACATGGTGTTTCAGATGGCTGAATACATTCCTGATGGAGGGGTTGATTGAGAAAAATGAAAAGTGCAATATAATGACACCAGTTCTTTTCATAAAGCCAGAATGTAGTTCTGAGAACTCACACAAATGACAGAGGCTATTCTTATTGAAGAAATAGTGCTAATGTGCCAACCATGGCAGCTGGCATGATTTGTCAACACTTAGACCAGAGCAAGTTTCTGCATATTGCTTACATAAATCCAAACGCTTCCTGTTCATAACATTGTTAAATGTTTGTTTTACACCAAACTAAGTTGTTAGGCTACTGATTTAATGGACACCCATAATGCACCTCTTTTCATAGCTATGGAAAGCTAAAATCTAGATTTTTGCCATTGGTATCATCAGTACAGAAAACTGTGACATTAGTTTGTGACCCTCCCAAATATATTCATAGTAATACCCACAGTAATTATTTCTACGAGGAATTAACTGCTCTTGGCTTAAATGCGCAGTAATCTTTGCACTGGAATAAGGTTATAATTTAATGTGCAGGTTCCTGTTGATTTAAAACAGGGACATGCACAAGTCGTCATTTTAAAGATAATTAGACTGTCCTATATAAAAAAGGGTATAAAACACTTCCCACTTAGATTTAATTGCTTCCCAAGGCTATATTTTTATGGCATTTGAAATAAGTGTTTTTTTTTTTTAAAGCTCTTTCTTGGCATTTGAACATTTTCTTATTTCAGCCTTTAAAATGCACCATGACCATATTGTCTTGGAATTAAACTAATTAATGGGGTACAGTGCCTCCATCTTATGAATGCAAATTTAGCATTAAAAGTAAACGTTTACGAAGTTTAACACGTACACACATACAAAATTTATATGAAGCACATGAGCAGATAGATTGAGGTAGATATAAGCACAGTTTTGGTCTACAAGGATGGAATAAAACAATTTGGGACATGCTCTTATAGGAAATTCATCAGTGCTGGGGTCGTGTGATACGGCCCTATGTGAAGTGAATTTACTGTTACCACCCCAAAATTGATTATTTTCCTATAACAGCATGTCCTGAAGTGCTTTCTTCCTCTTGTACCATACTTGCCAATGCTTAAAATGTTAATTTGTTAAAAAACAACATCATACTTTTTAACCTTTAATAGTTACTTTTAATGTTGTGTAACATAACACTTACATTATAGCAGATATAAACAGCAATTCCTTCATAAGCCTCTCTTTCTTTTTCTCTTGAAGTTAATATGACCAAAGAAAAGTGATGTGTATAATCATATCCATGATTATATATTTTTCTTTGTTAAATTACAACACATTTTTCTAATCTGTTTATTATTGACCTTAGGTTATGTGGAGTGTCCACCATACAAGTCCCTGTGAATGCGTTATTACTGTAGAAAGAATAATGTATAAGCGTGGGTGCTTTAATATACAGTAAACCTGCAATTTGAATTACTGTCAGAGCTGCAAATTAATCAACACCTTATGACCAATTACATTAAAAAATTCAGCAGCACAGTGGTCTAATGTGTAGTAGAGAAGATTTTTTTTTTCCTTCTGGGAATTATTTAAAAGTAGAACTAAGTATAATGTGTTCCTGGAAAATGAGAATGTAATATTTTATTGTTTCTTAGTAGTGACACATTCTCCTATGCAGACGGGGCAGCATGCCAGAATAACTGCCGTGTCCCTTGGATGCACTAAACCATATTGTTGCTTGGCTTGAGCTGATGTGAGGAGGAGCACACTCTTGCCACTGGCACCAGTTGGCTCAGTGCCCACAGAGTGCCAGGCTACAGGATCCAGCTTGCTGTCAGTGTGAGTTATAGCTCTGTCACACCAGCCTCTGAAGCACCAGTGCCATGAGATCCTCCAGGCTGAGCTTCCCAAGAGCTTCGTCTGCTAACAGCTTCTGTCCTGTTTCACAATGATTTTCAGTGTGCGACCTATATTATTTCTTTATATGATTTGTGGGTAATTTTAGAAGCCTTTTTGGGTACTTTTTTTTTTAATACTGCCTGTAGGTTGTATTTTGCCTTTTGGCACTGTCTCATTTGAGTGTTCACATATAAGTATTCTTGGGAGCTTAACAATTTCTCACAATGATTTTTATACTGGCTTTTTTTGCTGCCAGGTGGTTGGATTATATTCTGCCTTGCTTGGGTTAAAATTGTCTTCCAAATGAATAAATGTAGATGTAAATCTGTTCAAACATAATTTTACGCAGATGCTAAAAATGATTCTCAGGCTGTGGAAGCTAAATAACCTTCATGAATGTTTTATTTACAGACCTACACCTCTCAAGAACCCGGAAACTGATAACTAAATATGTATGCCATGCACATTGAGCCTGAACCTGAAACACATCCTTCTTCATTCCCCGCCTTAATCAAATGCTATTGATTTCCTTAAGTGAAGCATTGATTTACATGACACCTGCTACTGAAATATTCAGGCTGAAAGGGTGTGGATGGACTAGCAGGGGTAAAGGAATCTCCCTGTTTTATTGCTGACAGCAAGGGAAACTGTGAATCAGAGCCTGTGACTGACAGCTAGTGTTATTCATATCCATGCAGGAGTGCATTAAGAGCCACTGGCAAGGACAACATTGACTCATAACATTAACTGACTGCGTTCATAATTGCAAAGTAAGAAAAACAATACTGATGGTACTGTAGGTCTTTTTATATATAAACAAATCAAAATTAGATCTAAAAGTGTTGTCATCAAGTTAAACTGTAAAATTATCCGAAATAATATCTAATATGAGCTACTTGCAAGCTAAATAATTCACTTTTAAATATGAAAGCCTTTCAGGACTTGACGGAAGAACAAACTTTAGTATGTCTGATTGAGTATTGATTTATCTTCGTGTACATTTTTTTAAAGAATCAAACAGTCAACTATAGAACATTAAAATTAAATACAAACAAATTGTCTTCCTTAAAATGTGTAAAAAAAAATATGAGGCTGCAAATGTAAAATCTTTTTGCCATTCGTCAGCACAGGCTGCAGAAGACGCAAAAAACTGGACCATGTGTTGTTAATTGTAAGTCACCTTAGTAGATTAGTAGAACACAATAAAATAAATTTAGAAAATTTACCTTAACTTTTGACTTTTGTTTTTATTCAGCTCAGTTTTGACCCATTGAAAGCACTCACTTTATGAAAAAAAAAGTGTATTTCATTAAATTGTGTTGCGGTTTTTTTTTCCCCCCCAATTATGCTTCATTCTGAAAATATAAATAAATAATTCAAAAAGGTTTTGTTTTTTGGTCCATCATGTCCTGAATTTCAGTTTCAGTCATGAAACTTTTGAGTCTGGTTCCTCTCAAGGTTTCTTCCTCAAGTCATCTCAGAGAGTTTTTCTTTGTCACTGTCACCTCTGGTTTACTCATCATCTAAATCTACATCCCGATTTCTGTAAAGCTGCTTTGTGAGCATGTCTATCTTTAAAAGAACTATACAAAAAAATTGAACTGAATGGAAAAGAGCCACTTTCAAAAGTCAGGTAATTGATATCAAAATACATAACTCACCTGGGTTAGTCGAACACCAAACCCAGTGTAACTCAAAAACATTACACAACCACACATTACAAAGCTGCATCAGACACTTTTATTATGGAACTCCTTTTTGCTGCCAACACTGCTGCTATACTTATTGCTGCTACACTACAAAATAGTTTACAATTTACAGCCCATGTAATGTGTATTTACTGTCCTGTGTATCTGTTGTTCTGTCCTGTGTATTTACTGTCCTGTGTATCTGTTGTCCTGTTCTGTGTATTTATTGTCCTGTGTATCTGTTGTCCTGTTCTGTGTATTTATTGTCCTGCACTCATCTCACACTGTTGTGTAGTGCACTTTATGTAGTCTTGTACTGTTCTGTGTTGTACCATGGTCCTGGAGAAACGACATTTCATTCTCATGTATACTAGCTGTATAGAGGAATAAAAACCACTTGACTTGACTTGACTTGATAAGCAGTTAAAATACCATTATGCACAATCAGTGCTGAAAAAAAAAAAAAAAAAAAAAAAAAAAGTGTATCCAAATGGCCCGGTTGCCAGCTTGTACCATGCTTAACAGTAGACTTCTCCCATCAATATTGCCCTGTTTTTTGTTTTTTTTTCCCGTACAGTTATTGGTTTGGATGGGTCCCTGGAGGACTAGAGGTTAGGCCTCAGTGCTCTAACCGCCGTGGCCCTGGTTCGATTCCTGGCAGGGAACTACAAGACAGTGCACTCCCAGTGCCGGTCCCAAGCCCGGATAAAATTGGGGAGGGTTGCGTAAGGAAGGGCATCCTGTGTAAAAACTGTACCAAATCAAAATATGCGGACCAATGATCCGCTGTGGAGACCCCTAACGGGAGCAGTTGAAAAAGAAGAACGACAACAGTTATGGGTTTGGGTAGTGCAATGTCGGTGAATTCTTATATGTATTCTTGAGGCTCTAATACTACTCCTGGTATTTCTCTTTTGTTCACATATATGTGAATATATTCTATTTTTCATTCTGTGATTACTTCTGTGTAGTTCAGGCAATGTGGTCTTGCTAAGGCTTCCTATGGTAATTGATTGTATGGGTGCTGGATTCCTGGCTGCATGTGGGGTTGCGTTAATTATGTGAATACATCTTTATTGTAAATATTTGTTTCTTTGATTCTTTTCTTAGCCTTGAGTCATTTAAATGTGCCAGAGATAAACTCGTTTTGGTAAGCATGGTGAGTATCCATGGCTTCATGATACTGCGTAGCCTGAATCCCAATAAACCATGAATGTGCACTAGCTTATCTCCTCCCTGTGATTAATTTGCTGCTTGAGGTTATTTTATTTAATGATACTATATGTGCATAAATAAATACACATGATTGAAGGTGGGGGGAGTGAATTTTAAATCAGAACACTTTTTGTAATAGCGGTTCACATTCTGGCAGCTTTTAATAAAATATCTGCTTGGAGGAGGAACTCAGGTCTCTGTGGCACCCCATGCTCCATGAAGGTGAGGAAAAAATGATGGGGACTACCAACATTTAACAAGGAGGCATCTCTACTCATGCTCATACTACTCTTTCATTACTATTTAGTTGTTATAGCCAAGGCAGAGTGTGTGCATGTTTTGAGGGCAAAACTACAGGTAGACTGCATTTCTGTGAATCTCAAGCCACAAATCACCAAATGTTTGTTTAAATCATTATATGTTGAGGTTGCAGCAGGTCAAAATCTCTGTGCAATTAGCCACTGTGTCCCCAGGAATTTTCATTTAATTGGTTTCTTTTTTGCCATCATTTGCTGTCTTGCTACTGATTTTGAGTTTTTATTTTCTTTTTGAATTAATGGTGGGGTTTCTGCTATGCTACAGTATTTCAGTTGTACTAAGGACCTCATGTTGTATAGGACTTCATGTGTATAACTCCAGTATGATTTTTTTCTCATTCACTGTGTCATACTGTACATCTAGTCTATGTTCATGGTAGCCTTAAAAAGTGTTTTCATTGGTTTACATTATAAGAATCTATCTTGGATCCAACATGTAATTTATTGCAATGACTGTTAATGCTACATGGACTGGTTTATGTGCCACACCACCATCTGCTCATGTGAAAAGTAAACCTTGTATTGTTACATTCAACATATTGTATCATTGTCTTAAAACAGCTTCTTGTTTCAATTATTTTTGAGTACATGTTTGAGATTATTTAAATTGGTGTGACCTAGAATGTTTTCTCAGTTGGCCTGAATGCTTGATTCTGGGCTCATCTGAAGGAGGGTATCATCATTTCAGGTTTGATTTTCACACAGACAATTGCCTTATGGAACTGGCTGAATTTTACATTCCTAACTTTTGTAAAATCATGTAAAAATAATTCATTCATTCATTTTCAATAATCATTTTATCCTGGTCAGGGTCACAGTAGATCTGGAGCCTTTCCCAGGAACACTGGTCACATGGTGGGAATACACCTGCCCATCAAAAGGCACCATGCAAGCATACACACACACACACACACACATACACATGCAATTTAGCATAGCCAATCCACCTACTGACCACTACTTGTTTGGAGGTAGGAGGAGAACCCAGAAGAAACCCATGCAGACAAATGGAAACATGAAAATCCACACAGACAGTAACCTGAACTCAGAACTGATGCACCACCATGCCACCATATTGATGCATCATTCAGTTAATTATCTTTTTTTACTTAGGCTCAGTACAGCATTTTGGATAAAGCCTTTCGGTCAAAGCTGCTTACATGTAGTTTATAAAGAAATGATTTTGTTCTTCATTCACCTGAGTTCTATCTGATGACTTATTTCCTAGAAGGCCTTCTGTTTCATCTGCAGACAACAACACGCCATTCTGCAACATTGGGAAACTTGAAATAGGAAGTAATGTGACCGATCACAAGTTTAGACGATTGCATTACTCACTGCCCAGCCGCAGGTGTGGATCAATTTCTCACATGGTGCAATTTACTGTTTTTATGGTGGACCAGAGATTGTTCCTCGGACCTCACCAGGGGTCAAAAACTGTTTTCACACATGAACAAATGTGCAAGTTTAAAAATATCCTTAGTCTGGTGACCCATAATACTGCCCCCTAGTGTTCACAGGTCCAATAAAAGACTCAATAATTTCATTTCCAGTTAACATTCTAAGCACTTTCATTATAGTAAACTGCTAACAGTTTAACTTAGAATATGTTTATTCTAAATTAAAGCAAGTTCGAATAGATGGTCTTATATAGCCATTAAAAACTCAGCCTGAACTGCATTTGAACATTCTCTTACTGCCTAAAATTGCTCAAATGAACATCTGTAATATCTTAATTTCTCTTTCAAAACAACATGAGCCATCTTAGAGAATCAGACCACATCCTGCAGCTCCCATCTGGCTCTCAGACAGGAACAGAACAAGTTAAGATGAAGTGAGAAGTCAGTCAGTTTGCCTCCCATGGCAGAGGCTTCACATCATCTTTTAATGAAGGTGCCTAATCTTTAGTGGCTGGAGAGAGGGTGGACAGAACCCATGAGACAGGTATCAGAGGCATCAAAGGGAAAGAGGAAGCAGTCAGACAGATTTCAGCTGCTGTAGAGAATATAGGAAATGCTCACAGTCTATTTTGTTTACTCGTGTATGTGCCTAAGCTCACAATCATATCTTGAAGAAACATAAATATACAAAAATATAAATTCGGATGGAGGTAAAGAAAAAAGACACAACTATAATTATATAAATGTGAACATCATCATAAAATGAAATAAAGAAGGATTTCTTTCTTTCTTTCTTTTACTATTTTCTATTATTTTAGAATAATAATGAATATGTTAAAACTATGAAATAACACATATGGATTATGCACCAACCAAGAAAGGTGTTATAAGACTAAGGAATAACACTTGATGTGCAGTGGTGTTATAGGAAAATAATCAAGCATTTTATTCCTTTTATACCACTGCAGTCTGCTTACATTTTTTACTTTATCATTCATCATGATATATTATCATACATTTTAACCATTCATAGTTACATTTAATGTTGTGGAACATCCCTGAAACAAGTTCGTTCCTGAGAAAACATCTCCATACAGAAAACTTAGTAGGCATAGATTAGGAGGGTCCACCATACCAGTCCCTGTAAATTAGCTGTTACTATAGAATGAGTATATAAAATTTGAATTAGAGCATTTTCAGAGCTGCCGTTATATATAATTAATCAGCACCTTCTGACCAATCAGATTTGAGAATTCCACTGCGCTAATACAAAACTATTTTATATTTTAAATTCTTAACACATTCTTGGCATTTTCTCCAGCAGGTTCATGAGGAGCTTCACACAGGAAACTTTTCTCAAGTTCCCAAAGAGGAAGTGCTGGCCGCTTTATTGAAATGAATAAATTATAACTACTTCTTTGGGAAAACAATTTAATCAAGTAAAAACTATGTGTGTTAAGTAAAAACTGCTTGTTAATCAGAAATAAATTTATACATGCTCATTAAATTCACTATTTACATTTGTCTTAGAAACAAATATCAAATTATCTTTAAGATAGTGATTATAGACTCTGTGGCCAAAAGTATGTGGATACCTGACCATCAAACCCAAACGTGCTTGTCGAACATCTAATTCCAGGTTTAATCTCCCTTTGCTGTTATAATAACCTCCACTCTACTGCGAAGGCTTTCCACTAGATTTTGGTTGCACTTATTGGGTTGGAGGCATGTCAGAGTGCCTTTAAGTGATACACCAATTAATCAGGGCATCTGTTTGGACATCTAGATAGAATCAGGCAGTTACTTTCTCCTCCCAGTGGATTGTGCTGTTTGATGATGCCTTGGGGCTAGAAGGTGAAAACAGTTTGTGGTGTGTGGAAGGTCTTCATTGTCACCACAAATAACTGGCACTGTAGCATGACAGAGGAAAGACATATAACGGAATGAAAATGTTTTTTCATTCCTTTTGCATTATCTTTCAAAATTTTCCTTGGTCAAATTTTATGTATTATCCTTCATAGTAAATACACTTTTTCAAATATGTCACTTTATTCATAAGTAATTAAAGAATTAGTGATTACCTAAAATTGCACAATGGTGATATAATGCTCTCCTTTAGCTAAAATGGCTCTTTTCTGGCTGAAAGAAAAAAGTCCTCTTTCCAGCCCTCTGGGCTGATGTGTCTTAACCCCTCTCAGTGAATGTCTGCTGGGGATCAAAATGGCATTTTAGGAGATTTTGCCATTTATAGAGTTCCCCTTTGATCGCTAACTGCTGCATTTGTGACATTTTAACTCACTTTTTCTTCACTTATTGCATTTTTGCAGGTAACATAGCCTTCTGGACATGAACACTTTATCAAGTACAATTGCAATTGGGGATTACAGTCTGAGGTTGTCATCTAAGAAGGCCACTGGTGTCTGGAGGCTATGGTTTGTGCGCAGAACAAATAGAAATGCTAACATATCCAGAGGCTTTTCCCCTCCTGGTTTATTTCCATTGCATGTATGAGCAGGCACAATTCAAAACCTGTGAAAATCTTCTGTTATCTCATGTTAATAACTTTTCTGCATACACAGGATTAAGAACATTACTGGCAGTAGTGGATTTGTTGGTAGTGCTCAGATTAATTTAGAAAATAGACCTTAAAACCTGTAAGATAATTATGGACTGCATGAGAAAACTGCTTAAAAATAGAGTGTAATTTGTGAAAATGTACACTTCTCTGCTTTT